CGCAAAGCGACACATCCAATTACAGCACTCCAGTCCATCAGCATCAAGTCCTTGAGCTAGGATATGCTTGTAGCTCTATGCCACCATTAACTCCTTTTGTCCTTTCTTTTAACAACTTGACATACAGTGTCAAAGTTAACCAAAAACTGTCGTTTCCATTCTGTGGAAAGGACACTTCACTTGGTTCTTCGGATACATCTAGCATGAAGGTTTTGTTGAATGATATTTCAGGAGAAGCAAGAGAAGGGGAAATTATGGCCGTTCTTGGGGCTAGCGGGTCTGGTAAATCCACATTGATTGATGCACTTGCTGACCGAATTGCGAAGGAGAGCTTGAAAGGTTCTGTGACTTTGAATGGTGAGGTCTTGGAGTCAAGGCTATTGAAAGTGATATCTGCTTATGTTATGCAAGATGATCTTTTGTTTCCTATGCTTACTGTGGAAGAGACGCTAATGTTCTCGGCCGATTTCAGGCTTCCTCGCTCCCTCTCCAAGTCGAAAAAGAAAGCAAGAGTTCAGGCCTTGATTGACCAATTAGGCCTGCGTAATGCAGCCAATACTGTGATTGGAGATGAAGGACATAGAGGCGTGTCAGGAGGTGAAAGAAGAAGAGTTTCTATTGGAATTGACATTGTTCACGACCCAATTCTCTTGTTTCTTGATGAGCCAACTTCAGGGCTTGATTCAACTAGTGCTTTCATGGTTGTTAAGGTCTTGCAGCGCATCGCACAAAGAGGAAGCATTGTAATCATGTCCGTACACCAACCAAGTTACAGAATTCTGACCTTACTTGACCGTCTGATCTTTCTTTCACATGGACAAACAGTATATGCTGGCTCTCCAGGAAGTCTTCCAGAATTCTTTTCTCAGTTTGGACATCCAATTCCTGAGAATGAGAACCGAACTGAGTTTGCTTTGGATTTGATTCGTGAACTTGAAGAAGCTCCAGAAGGAACCAAGACGCTTGTTGAATTCAACAAGTCATGGCAAGTCATGAAAAACCCCAAGAACAGAAACTTCAACGCATCCAAGCTTTCACTTAAGGACGCAATAGGTGCCAGCATTTCAAGAGGCAAACTAGTCTCTGGTGCCCCAAATAATTCAAGCTTGACATCTTCAGTTCCAACCTTTGCCAATCCACTTTGGATTGAAATGATGGTTATAAGCAAAAGATCGTTACTCAATGCAAAAAGAATGCCTGAATTGTTTGGAATTCGCCTTGGTGCTGTTCTTGTTACTGGTATAATCCTGGCCACCGTTTTTTATCATCTTGACAGCTCTCCTAGAGGTGCGCAAGAGCGATTGGGCTTTTTTGCTTTTGCCATGTCCACTACTTACTACACCTGTGCAGAATCTATCCCTGCCTTTCTGCAAGAACGTTACATTTTCATGAGGGAAACCGCCTACAATGCTTACCGTCGCTCATCTTACGTTATTGCTCACTCTCTAATCTCGATTCCCTCTCTGGTTGTACTTTCTATTGCCTTTGCCGCAACAACATTCTGGGCTGTACGACTCGATGGTGGGTTTTCTGGGTTCTGTTTCTTCTTCTTCACAATCTTGTCTGCATTTTGGGCTGGAAGTTCGTTTGTTACTTTCCTTTCAGGTGTTGTCTCTCATGTTATGCTGGGTTTCACCATTGTGGTTGCCATTTTGGCCTACTTTCTTCTCTTCAGTGGGTTCTTTATATCTCGAGATCGAATTCCTTCGTTTTGGTTATGGTTTCACTATATTTCTCTAGTGAAATATCCATATGAGGCAGCTTTGCAAAATGAATTTCAAGATTCAACTAAATGTTTTGTCAGGGGCGTGCAAATGTTTGATACCACACCTCTTGCCGCAGTGCCTTTGTCATTGAAACTGAACATGTTGAAGAGCATTAGCAACACTCTGGGCATGAACATTACAAGTAACACCTGTGTAGTCACGGGAGCAGATATTCTTAGGCAACAAGGGATAACAGATATAAGCAAATGGAACTGCTTGTGGATCACTATCGCTTGGGGGTTTTTCTTCAGGATTCTATTTTACTTTGCTTTGTTGTTTGGTAGCAAGAACAAGAGGGGTTAAATTATTCTCATGCTAGTTATTGATTACTATAAAATCCATTGATGGTTCTTGGCTTCTGTAGCAGGAAAAAAAAACCCAAGGCATGCTCACTGCTTTCCTTTTTCCTCATGTTCTTAGGAGGCTTATTTTGTATCTGTTCATTTATCATTCAGAAACTATCTTTCTCAAATTCATGATCAAGTTTGATGTAATTAAATCAGTAGAGAACAATTGACTGGTCATGGACGATTCGGTACATTTTGGAATAAATCATGCTACCCATCAAAGTATTTTGAAATATTAATAATGACTTTGTATGATTACTGAGGATATGGATTCTTCACATGACTGGCAACAAACCAATGGTTATTGATAGGATTTGCTAAAGCAATAGCAATAGTCAAATGTAATATGCCTGCTGGAAATCTGTGCAGGTGAACAATGCAGGGTTCTGATGCTTTAGCAGCCTCAAGATTTTCTGCGGATGGGGAAAGGGCGTCGGGGACTTGAAACTAGTTTAAATCAATTACATGAAGTTGCATATCTAAACGTATTGAATTATCATAAAATCTCTACCTTGATGTTTCATCAGTTGTCTACACTACTTGATGGGCTTTCCCACTGTCACACTTGGTCAGTTTTACATTATTGCTTAGAATAGTCACTGTCGCCCACAGGTATACCTTAACTAGACCGCCGCCATCAGCTGAGTCCAATCTCCTTGCCAATGACAACAAAGATCCTCTCCTCTCTGCAAGAAACTCAGCCACAACAGTCCTGAATTCCAGTCACCATCCTCTCTGCTGGAAATTCAGCCACAACAGTACTGAATTCCAGTCTCCATACTTCTGCAAATCCACTTCGAATTCAGAGGCAGCGCGTGAGAAGCATCCTCCGCCTGAGTTCAATCAGTCAGTGCGTACACTCCAAGCGCCGCTACTGCCCCTTTCGGTTCCACCCAATTCCAGCGGTTTTCGGTCAAGTTCCAGCAGCTCTCAAGAGGTTAACTTCAATCCCATGTGATTTACCTTTTTTTTAAGATTTGTATCGAAATGCAATATTTTGACGGGGCTTTGATAATTGACGCAAGTTTAAATTTTTGTGGGGATGTTGAGGTGTGAGAGTGCTGAGATTTTCTTATGTACAAATATGTTTTGATCTACATGCATCCTGCATTCAGAGTTTACATATGGTTGAAACTGCAAAATAATTGTCATGTGTGAATAATGTTTTGACAAATATGGTTACAATCATGAACTGCATCTCTTCGTGCATATGTTTGTGTATAATTTTAAAAAAAAGTAAAACAGGAGGGGTGTTTTGATTTCATGTTTGTTTGTTTGTGCCTGTAATTGTTTGTTTCTAATCCATGATAAAAAATAAAAAAAACCAAAACAAAACAGGTTTTTCGTAAAAATAAAAAACAAAACAAAACAGGTTTTTCGTAAAAATAAATAAATTAAGAGTCTTTGATTTTGTGTTCGTGTCTTCATGTCCGTAATGAATAAAATGATTTTTTAGAAGTGAATCCGAATCCGCGAGGTGATGGATGCCTTGCAATACCTTTCCAACTTGCTTTTTCTATAGATAATGACTCGTTATACTACCAGTAGAATCAATTTTAAGATGATAATATTAAAAAAAAATAATTTAATAAAACAAAAAAAGTGAAAAATATATATATTTAACATGCCCTTATATTTTATATCTTTTATTTTATGTTTATTTTTTATTTTAGAAATAATGCATGCTGGAATTTTCTTTTATTTATTTATTTATTCATTCATTCCTTTTTTCTTTTTCTTTTTCTTTTTATTAGTTTCTAAACATTTTGTAACATACTATTGATTGATTTGGACTAAGTCTATGCGACCTTAAAAGTCCATTAAAGATATGCAACCTTAAAAGTCCATTATAGATGAGTGATAGCCTATGATCTAAATATTCATTATCTTTCAAGAATACCTGTAATTTTAAAAGTTAGGATTGGACCTTATCTCATCCAAATTTTAAATTATTTTTAATAAAACTTATGTTTAAGTTTAGGCAAACAATTAAAAAGGCATGATATAATAGATACAAATAGTTTATTTTAGGTATGATATTTTAAAATTCTATTTATTTTTTATTTTTAAAAAATTTAAAAATTTGTTAATTTTTTGCTTTAAATTAATATTTTTTTATATTTTAAATCATTTTGATACTCTAATGTTAAAAATAATTTTAAAAAAAAAAAATATTTTAATATATTTTTAAATAAAAAAATACTTTAAAAATAATAATAATTACCCTCTCGGATAACAAACACCAAGAGGCAAGAGTGTAACCCTCTCAGATAACAAACACCAAGAGGCAAGAGTGTATAATATTTTAAAACTATAATTTTTTTTTAATATAATTAGCTACGTAAGATATAATATTTAAAGAATAGTTAAAATTTTTAATTATTATAAATTATTTAATAACTCCCTATCAATTTGTATAATTTCATTATGATAGTCTCACTTCATTGATGTAACACAAAATCAATCAAATATTCTTTCATACTATCCTTTCGGAATCCACTAGGTCTTATCACAGCCTCTAGAATCTAGATCTGTGAATTATTACGCAGTCTGATTTGTTTTATGGGGCTACGTTCATCTCTCATAATCCATTCATTAGTTAAGTGGTCCTCATTCCAGCCAAGACTTGTCCAGTATGCGATTTTTTCTTCTTGTTGGATCATAATTTTGAAACGGGTCTGGCCTGAGAGGTTAATCCGGACATGGTTGACTGATTTGATAAGTTGATTATATTTAAAAAAAAAAAAAAGAATTGAGCTAGTGATTCATTTTTTTAAAAAAAAAAAAGAATTGAGCTAGTGATTCGATTAAAACCCAGCAACTCGGGTAAAACCCGCAACCCAGACCTTGGGTCGGATCAACCACTTTCTGGGTTTAAAAACTCTATCGGACTATAAGACTTGGACCGGTACTACTTGATGATAGTATAAATAAGGCAAGAGGTTACCTTAACCGTGGATCAAAGCTGCATAACCACTACTGTGGACAAAGAGAGTTCAAGCTTGTGTCTCTCTAGTTGTCAAATCCTATCATCAATGGCAGAAGCAACCAAGAGGTATTCTTTCATTACAAGTATAGCCTCAATAATTAATTAATAGCTGCTGCTTCTTGGCGACATTTTTTTTTATTTTTCAGCTATGCAGTGGTTACAGGAGCAAACAAGGGTATTGGGTTCGAGATTTGTAGGCAGTTGGCTTCTAAAGGGATTGTGGTGGTCTTGACTTCCAGAAATGAGAAGAGAGGCCTTGAATCTGTTCAAAATCTCAAGGAGTCTGGGCTTTCAGATTTTGTGGTTTTTCATCAACTTGATGTCGCCGATATCAACAGTATCGCTTCTTTGGCAGATTTCATCAAAAGCCGATTTGGAAAGCTTGATATCTTGGTATGATTAAAACCTAGTTTCTTCAATGCTCTAGATTTCTTGTTCTTCTTCAAAAACTCAAATTTAAAATTTTATTCAATATTTTATCTAGTCAAAACTCTATATTATATATATAGCAATTCTGTTTATATACTAGGAAAAAGATTCTAATCAAAGCTGGAAAAAAAAAGTATTTTAAATCACTTAGAAAAATAAATCCTAAATCAAAAAAGAAAATATTATAAATTATGAACAATAATGTTTGGGCTTTTATTTGAAGGCATTCTCAACCGTCATGACCGTGGAATGCTAAGCCAAAAGTAAACAATGCATTTGGAATCTCTTAGCAAAATTTTATCATAACTCAACAGTCGGATCAAACCTTGTAGCAATTAATATAAAATTATAAGTTGCGGAAAGATTTCTTATGTTAGCCTCCTTGGGTTAGAAGAATTTCTCCTCGAGTTCTACTTTCTCTCTCTCACACACATATATATTATACAATACGCTAAATGCTGTGAGGAAATTACTATTCCTCCTCGTACTCGTACTAAAATCATTGTGTGTTATAACAGTAATACAGTGATGTTCTTTTTTTCCCCTAACTTTCTTCTTTTTTTTATCCAAAATCATTTTTTTTAATTTTCTTTTTTAATTTTTTTTTATTAATTTTACTTTTTAAATATTAAACTGGTTATAATTTTTTTCATTTAAAATACTATAGATTTTGGTGGTGTCTTCTCATATAATTTTTTTATTTTATTTTTTATTTTACAATATTATATTATTGATTTTTTTTTAATATTTTAGTTTTTTAATTTTTTTTCTTTACAACATTATTGATTGCTACAATATTTTTTCGTTTGATTTTTTTATGATTTTATTTGAAATTATTTTTTTTATTTTTTAATATTGAACTGGTTAAAAATTACAATTATAATATGTGACGACAACAGTGTGATTTTTCTCGCAAATTACTATGGATTGCTATAATATTATTCCTTACATGATTTTTTTTTTCTGTTTTGTTATGTTTTTTTCTAAAATTATTTTTGCTCATTTTATTTTTTAATTGTTCCCCCACAATAAAATCACTGTTGATCAGTGCTTTCCTTTTTTTTTTTTTTTCTATTTTCACCAACTTTCCTTTTTTTTTCTTTTTTTTTCTAAAATCACTTTCCCTTTTTTATTTAACTTTCTTTTGTTTTCATTTATTTTTTTCTGAAATTATTTTTGTTGATTTTACTTTTTAAATATTGAGTTAGTTAAAAAAATTGTAATTTTTTTCTTAAAAATATTGTGAATTTCTATGATGTTTTCTCACATAGCTATTTTATTTTTTTATTTTATAAAATTTTATTTTTCAATTTTTTTAATATTTTATTTTTGTAAATATTTTTAAAATATTATTGATTGCTACTATGTTAAACTGGTTAATGTTAAATTATCTTTTTTATTTTATATATTTAATGTTAAACTGGTTAAAAATTACAATTACAATACGTGATGAAAGTACGGTGACTTTCCTTGTAAATTACTGTGGATTGCTATAATATTTTTTTCAAATGATTTTTTTCTGTTTTGTTATGTTTTTTTCTAAAAACTTTTTTAACAATTTTATTTTTTAAATATTAAGCTACTTGAGAATTGCAATTACAAGTAAATACAAGTTTTTCTTTACAAAACACTATGGATTGATATAGTTTTTTCTCACATGATTATTTTTAGTTTTTTTCATGTTTTTATTTTTTGTAATATTTTTTTTCAAAAATATCTTTGTTGATTTTTAAAAAAATATTAAGTTGGTTATAATTTAAATTTCTAATAAAGCTTAATCATGTGAGGAAAGCACTATAACTTTTCCTTACAACATATTGTGAATTTCTACAGTATCTCTACACATTGTTTTTTTCTTATAATTTTTTTTAAATTATCTTTGTTAATTTTATTTTTTTAATATTGAGTTATTTGAGAATTACAATTACAAGTTATTACAAAGAAAGCTAAATCATGTGGGAAAGCACTATAGCTTTCATCACAAAACACTGTGAATTACTATAGTGTTTCCAACATGATTTTTTTTGTGTTTTTTTATTTTTTTTCTAAAATTATCTCTATCAATTTTTTAATTTTGAGCTAATTAAGAATTTATTTTTATAATTTTTTATTGAAAACATTATGAATTGTTGTAGTGTTTTCTCATATTATTTTTTTATGATTTTTTCAAAAATTATCTTCGTTTATTTTTTTTTTTCATATTGAGTTGGTTAAGAATTATAATTACAATAAAGTTAAATCATATGAGAAAAGCGTTGTAGTTTTTATCACAAAATACTGTGAATTACTATAATATTTTGCTAAATGGTTTTTTATGTTATTTTATTGGGAAAAAGCATTGTAGTTTTCCTTACAAAACATTATCAATTGTTACAATATTTTTCATCATGAGTTTTTTTCCGTCTAAAATTATCTTTGTTGGTTTTTTTTTAAATATTAAGTTGGTAAAGAATAGCTTTGTAATTTTTTTTTGCTTTTTATTAACATAAAATCTAAATCATATGACAAAAGTACTGTATCTTTTTGCACAGAATACTGTGGATTATTACAAATTATTTTGTTTAATCTCTAAGTTTTTTATTACCAACACAACCTTTCTTTTTTATCATGAAATATTTATTTCATTATACCTTTAGTTTCTATTATTTATATAGCTCTGATTCACAATTATAATACGATCAAATACATTTGTTTTATAAGCCTACGATAACGCGCGGGCATGTCATTTCATAAAAACTAAAAGATGTGGAGAAATCACTGTTCCCCACACCCAACATACTGTGGATTACAATAGTAATCTATAGTGCATTCCTCTGCTTTTTTTCATGTTTGTTTTTCATTTTTTTTTCCATCTTTCTCTTTTTTTCTTTTTTTTCTTTTTCTCTCAAGATTACTTTTTTTTTTCATTTATTTTTTAAAAATTATCTTAGTTGATTTTACTTTTTAAATATTAAATTGATTAAAAAATTTGCTTTGTAATTTTTGTCCTTTAAAATTCTGTGGATTGCTACGTTGTTTTTTCACATGGTTTTTTTATTATTTTATTTTATTTTTTAATATTCTATTTGTTGATTTTTTTATCTTAAGCTAATTGAGAATTTGATTTTGTAATTATTTTTTAAATATTGTTGATTGCTATAGTGTTTCTCCATATGGTTCTTTTTCTTTTTTAATATTAAGTTAGTTAAAAATTATAGTTATAATATATGAGGAAAGTACTGTAACTTTTCTTATAAATTACTGTGGATTGCTATAATGTTTTTTCCAACATGATTTTTTTCTATTTTGTTATGTATTTTTCTAAAATTGCCTTTTTTTTTTTTTTCCAACATGATTTTTTTCTATTTTTTTATGTATTTTTCTAAAATTGCCTTTTTTATTTTTATTTTTTAAATATTAAACTAATTAAAAATTGCAATTACTAGTAAATACAATTTTTTCTTCACAAAATATTATGAATTGATATAGTTTTTTCTCACATGTTTTTTTTTTGTTTTTTTGTGTTTTCTTTTTTTGTAATATTTTTTTTCAAAAATACTTTGTTGATTTTATGTTTTTTGAATATTAAGTTGGTTAGAATTAAATTTTGTAATAAAACATAATAATAAAGAGAAAACAGTATAGCTTTCCTCACAAAACATTGTTGAGAATTACAATTACAAGTCATTACAAATAAGATTATATAATGTGGGGAAGCACTGTAGCTTTCATCACAAAACACTGTGAATTGCTACAGTGTCTTCAACATGATTTTTTTCCTTTTTTTTGTTATTTTTTTCTAAAATGTCTTTTATTGATTTAATTTTTTTAATATTGAACTGATTAAGAATTTAGCTTTGTAATTTTATTTTATTAAAACACTGTGAATTATTGCAGTGTTTTCCCATTTGATATTTTTATAATTTTTTCTAAAATTATTTTTGTTGATTTTTTTTTAATATTGAGTTGGTTAAGAATTATAATTACAATAAAGCTAAATTATATGAGAAAAACGTTGTAGTTTTTTTCACAAAAACACTATAGATTTCTACAGTATTTCTCTACATGGTTTTTTATCTTATTTTATTAAGGAAAGCATTGTAGTTTTTCTCGCAAAATACTATTAATTACTATAATATTTTTCCTCATGGTTTTTTTTCATTCCAAAATTATCTTTGTTGGTTTTTTTTTAATATTAAGTTGGTAGAGAATTATTGCACTGTATTTTTTTTGCTTTTTATTAACAGAAAAACTAAATCATGTAGTGAAAGCATTGTATCTTTTCTCCTAAAATACTATGAATTACTACAAAACATTTGCTTAATCTCTAAGTTTTTTTTATCACCAACACAACTTTTTTTCCATCATAAAATATTAGTTCCATCATATATTTAGTTTCTATTACTTATCTAGTAATGGTTCATAATTATAATACTATTAAGTATATTTATTTATAAACTCGCGGCAGCGTATAGACATGTCATCTTGCATGTGTGTGTTGCTGTTTTTGTAGCTAATATTGTTGACCATCAAATAAAATACTCTTTTACTCCATTAATATTAAATGTGCTCGCACCGTGTAGTTGGCCGACTTAGATATAGCAAACTGAGAACCAATTCCCAAATCTCACATCATTCTAATTCTTTATAATCTCATTCTTTTCTTTCCTTCCAATAAATTAGGATAAAAACAATAGATTTTTATCCTTGCTCTCACCAACTACCCAGTCTCTCCTAGGGATCAACATTATATGCTTTCCCTTTACATTAAAGGTATACACATTATGTTGTTTGCCATGTATAACATTCATACAATATTTCCATTACCGCTATAATAGTTGTTTGCCATAGATAACATTCATATTATATTTCCATGACCTACCTAATAGTCGATAACATGTATTCTAACACTATTAAGTATATTTGTTATATAAACTCGCGGCAGCGCCTTGACATGTCATTTTTTATGTGTCTTGCTGCTTTTATTGCTAATATTATCAACCATTAAATAAAATACACTTGTGCTTCATTAATATTAAGTGTGCTCACACAGTGTAATTGGCCGACTTAGATATAACAGGCTGAGAATCAATTCCCAAATTTCACATTATTCTAATTCTCTATAATCTCATTATTTTCTTTCTTTTCAATAAATTAGGATAAAAACAATATATTTTTATCCTTGCTCTCACCAACTACCCACTCTCTCCTAGGAATCAATGTTATATGCTTCCCTTTTACATTAAAGATATACACATTACGTTGTTTGCCATGTATAACAGTCATATCATATTTTCATGACCTTCCTAATAGTCAATAACATGTATTCTAACACTATTAAGTATATTTGTTATATAAACTCGCAACAACACATAAGCATGTCATCTTGTACGTGTGTGTTGCTGTTTCTGTTGTCGACCATTAAATAAAATACCCTTGTGCTCCACTAATATTAAGTGTGCTCGCATAGTGTAGTTGGCCGACTTGGATATAGTAGGCTGAGAATCAATTCCTAAATCTCACTTTATTCTAATTCTCAATAATCTCATTCTTTTATTTCCTTTCAATAAATTAGGATAAAAACAATATATTTTTATCCTTACTCTCACCAACTACCCACTCTCTCCTAGGAATCAATGTTATATGCTTCCCTTTTACATTAAAGATATACATATTACATTGTTTGCCATGTATCACATTCATATCATATTTCCATGACATGTATAATAGTTGTTTGTCATGGATAACATTCATATCATATTTCCATGACCTACCTGATAGTTGATAACATGAATTCATGGTAATTATATCACACCAAAAACAATTAAAATATCGCTTATAAAAAACAAAACAAGACAGTATTTGTCTATAATTACCTTATTATTATGAATAAGCCAATTCAATTTGTAGGTCATGGGATGTTTTTTCTATCTAAAGTTGCAACTTATTTACCACCTCATACAACACTTTATTCTTATAGCTATCACCATCGATGATATAGCTATCACCATCGATGACCAGATTATATACCTTGTCTTTAATGGTATAAGTATAAAATTTTCAATCCCATTATAATAATTTATCATACACAATATTTCAGGTGAAACTCTATATATATAAGAATGATTATTTATTATTTATATGAAACTTGTATAAAATATTGATGACAATATGTATTAATTACTAATGTGAACTTAAAAAACTATAAGCACTCAAATAATTAGTTATTATTGGTTTAACTCAAATTTATTCAATCTAATTTAATAATACCCTTAAAATCATTTTCAATTTTCTACAAAAAATCAAATTCCTCCAAATTTATTGAAATTTCAACTTAACAATAAAATTGATAAAATATGAAATGTACCTATTAAATAAGTCATTATTGATTTCATTATAAAACACCTAAATTACAAATCAAACTCAATTTTATCAAATGATATTTTTTAAAATTTCAAGCAAACCCTAACATGTGTAAATGATATATTTATATAACAAATTTCTATAATAAAAAAATATAAAGCAAGTAAACACACAAACAAACTACATATACTAATTCAAAATGCCAAAAAAGAAAATTAACATTTTAAAACTAGGTTACAACAAAAAAAAAAAGAGGATAATTTTGCTTATTTGACATGACGAATCTTCAAAAAACAATTTAACCAGAACAAGGATATTGATAAATTGAATGTTCAAGTGGCTGGAATTGTGATGATAAGAGCTTGATTTATGACAAAATACGGAGGTGTTGTGTTTGAAGGGGATTTTTTTTGTAGAATAAAAAAGAAGAAAAAGAAATTGGGGAAGGGTAAAGAAAGAGTTATTTTTCAGGTTATAACTTAAATATTAGGTATGGATTCACTTATGGGTATTAGCAATGAGCATATTGCCTTGGTAATTTTACATGTGATAATTCATTGATTTCCAACTATAATTTTCTTGAAATTCCCTAACGAAAAATTGTTATTGAATGACAAGGGAAATAGCAAGGTAATATTCCTTCGGTAAAAGTTATTGTTATTTACAAATAGGTTTTCATCCGTCAGTATTTTCATTTGTATCTGACTATTTTCTGTTCTGATTCCTTTGTCTGATGAAAATGTTGGAACTAAGCACAGGTGAACAACGCAGGAGTAGGTGGAGTCAAAACAGATGTTGATGCTTTAAATGCTTTCATTTCTGGTAACGTAAGTCTCTAAATGAAGATATTTGATGAACTTAAAAGGAAGAGTAATTAGCTTTACCGTCAATTGAGGTTAGACTTCTTACCTGTCTGAAGGGTGATGTCGAGGCTGAAACGTTTGTATTAGCCAAGACCTAAGAATTTCCTGGAATGTCCAATCTTCGCTATACTTTCTCTCAGTAATTCATATAGGATCATGCAAGTTACTGTGATGGTAAAGATTATTACTTATAACTGTGTTTTTCATTTTCTTAGACATATGCGGCCATTAGATGTGCTGTTAAGATCAGATTTACTATACAAGACTTCTACAAGATTTGTGGGATAGGCAGACGGGATCATGTTATCACCTCGAAAATTCCTTCTCCTGTATGACTGGCAGTGATGCATATAGCTGCCAAGATGATTGAGTTTCATTTGATGCAGGAAGGTGCAAAAATCAATTGGAGTGAATTTATCACTGAAACTTGGGAGCTAGTCGAAGAGTGCCTGAGAATAAACTATTATGGTGCAAAGAGAATGGCCGAAGCACTTATTCCCTTACTCCAATTGTCTGATTCACCAATAATTGTTAATGTTTCCTCTTCCATGGGAAAGTTGAAGGTAATACCTTACAAGACTTCTCAAGGAATAATTTGGTGTTTTCATGGTGAAGAAAATCATTCGATTTGATTTCAGTTTCTGACTGGGTTAAAATCCAACTAAGTTGAAACGAAAGAAAACTTCTGGAAATACAGATCTTCATTCAACCACTGAAAATCTTAAACAGGCTTCGCTCCACTGCTAGATGTTGCTAGATGTGGTAGGCGCAATCATTACAGACTTCTCTTTTGATGTCTTTACAGGGTGTATCAAATGAATGGGCTAAAGGAGTGCTAAGTGATGCTGAAAACCTTACAGAAGAGAGAGTGGATGAGGTTTTGAGCAAGTATTTAGAAGATTTCAAAGAGGGTTCTTTGGAAACGGAAGGCTGGCCTGCTATGATGTCTGCATATATACTCTCGAAAGCAGCTATGAGTGCCTCCACACGGATCCTGGCCAAGAAGTACCCAACTTTCTGTATCAACTGTGTCTGCCCTGGTTATGTTAAAACAGATATAAACTTCAATACAGGCATACGTCCTGTTGAAGAAGGTGCTGAAAATGTTGTTCGGCTAGCTCTGCTGCCTAATGGTGCTCCTTCTGGGTGTTTCTTTGATAGGATGGAGGAGTCGCCTTTCTGATCGGATGCTATCCATCTCTACAGAAACAAATTAAACCTACACCCTCTTGCTTACTTTGTCAGCAATAATATCTAGGAATAAACGTGTATCTAAGAATACATGTGTATCTGGGACTTGAACAAGCCAGTTTGTAGCTATCCTCCAGAATTCGGTCAATAGTAAGTGTGACTCTTTTCCAATGTTCCTGCATGCAGCGCATGTCTGATTGGTTTTGCTTGCTGACACAATGATCTCAAATGGCAGATTAATTATATATTACCAGTATGGAGTATATAGTGGTAAATGAGTTAGTCATTCACAAATTTTTAATCTAAAATGTGTGATGTTTTCAACTGGATTAAGAACTTATCTCATCACTAAAATAAATCCTAACCTACACATTATCCAAGAAACAAATAAAATAAAAACATATCAACTGAAAATTGGTGTAAAAAATGGAAAACATTTTTTTTAAAAAAATGAAAATGTTTAAAGAGAGATCATTTTACAAAATAAAATAGAAATCTCAAGGAATAAAAAAATCCTGACGATACTTGAGCATTTAAAAAAAAGCATTATCATATCAAAAATTTATTTTGAAAACTTATTTTAAAATATTTTCTAAAATTATATTTATTTGTTTGTTTAAATTTAAAATATATATATATAGGTGTTTTTGTTTCTTGATTGCTCCTTTTTTTTTCTTTGGGTTCCTTTTTTAATAATTTTTTTTTTAAATTTCATCCATCGATATTAGATTGAGTAGAAATTAAATTTTTTTTATTTTTTTTATGAGGTAATTCCAGTCTTATGACCTGAGTCACTATTTTGAAATGTTAATCTAATTTAACATTGATCTTTTTTTAGATTTTTATTTTTTACAAGGGTTCTCTTTTTCAATTTTGTTATTAAACATTAATTTTATTGAAAATCGGCCTTCATGATTTTCTTCACTTCTATTTCTACTGGGTTATAATAGTTTCATGACCTAGTTGCATGTTTAGCGAGTTAACCTAAATTGAATAAAATCTTCTTCTTCTTTTGTATTTTTAAGATTTAATATTTTTTTTATTTCCTCCTTTAACAATTGATTTGTTTGAAAATCAGGCTTCATAGATTTTTTTTTTTTATCTCGCTCACATGATCTGATTCATAAGGTTCAATTGGCTTACTTGACTTTACTAGTGTTTCATTTTTTTGGATTTTTTATTAATTAATTTTTTTATTTCATCTTTTTACATTTGGATTGGACTTCATTAATTTTTTTTTCATGAGGCTATTTAGGTCTTATGATCCAGATCGTAGGTTTAACATACTAAATTTGATTAAGTGGAGATATTTTTTTATTTTTTTCTAAACTTTATATACTTTAATTTTATTTTTTAATATTGGATTGTTTTAAAATTAAGTTTTAGCATTCTTTTTTTGGAGGTTATCAAGATTTAAAAAAAAAATAGTTCATTTACTATATCATTTTATCATATAATTAAATAAAATAAATTTATTATACTTGGCTGAATTTATAACCTGATTTACAAATTTATTTTTCTATGTTAATTTTTTTTTAAATAACCTGGCCCACGGTGTAGTGCCACGACCTATTTAGTCACCAATAAACTTTTAAGTTGCAAATTACGTGCTTTGTCAATTGTGAATAATAACAATCCCTATAATGTTTTCCTGATAATTTTTTTTCCTCAGGTTTCTGTTATCTGCAGTTCAGAACAGCAAACCACAACTGGAATAGACCATTTCGACGCACGAACTGATCTTTCTGCCAAAAACTTATTGCGACTGGATTTTAATTCCTCTGCTTCTAGATTTTCAAATTCATTAGGAAGGAAAATACAGAATCAGTGGCAGTGGCAGTCTTTGGCATTGATGAAGTGCGTGCTGAACTTCTATGAATCTCTTTTCAATGGATAAACGAAGTCCAGGTAGATTGGCTGGTATTGTGTTCTCTCCTGCACTTTGCCTTCCAGAACAGTTTGTGTTTGGCAAAAAGCAGATAACTATGCACAGTTTGATTTCTACGGCTTAGACAATTCAGGAAAACGAAAGACATGGTTTTGTAGCACTATGTTATTTGCAATCTACTATGTACGTGGCCTGGGAATTGAAATAGGGCGTGCATAACATATGAATCCGATCCATAAATGCTGTCTTGTGTCGATTAGTAGACTTGTTCAAGACATCTGAACCTGGGACTGATCCAGTTCTAAAATTGATTCTGTAAGCACCCATAAATCTGGTGAATGAAAATAGCTAAAGCTGTTCACGATGGAATGCTGGGTTTTGGATTGACATATGACAGTGATGGCCAATTCAAATGTGGTTGAACCTACAAGCTCTCAGCATTAGGTAAAGTAGGGTCTAAACTCCCACAATCTGTTGTCCAATTTTCCTAGCTATATAGAATGTCTTCAAACTGCATAAGACCTCACTTTGCCAAAATAGATCAACTAATACAAAGGCAGCACAGTTGCTGAAACTTTCTCCCTGAGAGGAAATGGGAGCTCAAGCAAACACCAACCTGGTCCCTGAGAAGCCACCCGTATCCTATTAAGCACTGATCTTTAAAATCTCACGATAGTCACTGGAAGTTGTGTGTCCTCTTTGCTGAGCTGAGAGTATTGGAGAGGAGCATTGCTATAGTCATAGGACCAACACCTCCAGGAACTGGAGTGACAGCTGAAGCAACTTTGCAGGCCTCCTCATAGCAGACATCTCCAACCAATTTGTAACCTCGAGGGCTTTTTGCATCCTTTAAGACATGCATGCATACAAATAGAAATGGCCAATCGCATAAGAATATAACCAGGAAAGCATGTTAAGGAAAGAAAAACCAAAGGTCACCACAGAATTTTTCTCACCTCAACTGGATTAATTCCAACATCAATTACAACTGCACCGGGTTTTAACCAGCTGCCTCTCACCATATTTGGTTGCCCTACAGCAGAGATTATTATATCTGCATGCTTTATAATCTCCTCAGGGTTCTTGGTTCTAGAATGGACAATGCTCACTGTAGCATCTTCCCTCTTACAATATCAAAAACATCAAGACGAGTTTAAAAGAGGACAGGTTCAGAAACAATACACATATATCTGATAACATCAAAAGGTAACAGAAAATGAAAAGACACTCACTTTCAGGAAGACTGAATTACCTGAAGCAATAAAGCAGCTGGCATCCCAACAATATTGCTCCGACCAATCACAACAGCTCTCTTCCCTTTGATTTCAACAGCATATCTATGCAACAACTCTATGCACCCTTTAGGCGTACAAGGAACAAACAGCGGGTCTCTTCCTCGCATTGCAAGACGACCAATGTTCAATGGATGGAAACCATCCACATCCTTCTCAATGTCAACAGCATTCAACACATTCTGCTCATCCATATGCTGGTACAAACATACAAACACATCGATTTCTAATCAAACAATCACAATTCAACACAAAATTTTATCAAATTGTCAAACATTGATCAAATTCAAAACCATACCGAAGGCAGAGGCAACTGGACAAGGATGCCATGAACTGAAGGATCATTATTGAACTCCGAAATAAACTTAATCACTTCTTGTTCGTTAGAGTCTTCTGGCAAACTTACTTCAAAAGAATTAATCCCAACAGCCTCACAAGCTTTTTTCTTGTTGCGTACATAAGTAGCAGAATCCTTCCTGTCGCCAACAAGAATCACCGCTAACCCAGGAACAACACCAATTGCTTCCTTCATCTTTAACACTTCGGCTGTTATCTCATCTTTTATTTGGTTTGCAACCATTTTCCCATCAATAACCGTCGCAGAAGCTTCCCCACCCGATTTATCTGCACAATAAATCCATCAAGCACATTAGAGTTGCATACAGCATGTTCGACAAAATGACTCCTTGAAATAGACTCACAAACGCAGTCACAGGTTTTTTTTTTAAAAAAAAAAAGGGTTCAGCGAAGGATGCATAAAAACAGAAATCATCAAACAATGTATCAGGGAGTGGTTAACCATTGATTACAGGAGACGGGTTATTTGAAGAATTAACAGAGAGGGTTCTGAGAGGGGAGAGGACAAAGGGTCTGACATTGAGAGGACCCACTGAGCGGCGAAGAGAAACGGCGCCATTAAAAGGAATGGTGATTCGCGAAAATGGAAGAAGATGAGAAGCTGTGGAGGTGGAGGAGTCGATGAAGACGAGTGATGAGGACATTTTGGTGGTAGCGAAGCAAAGTCGAAGTAACCTCGACGTTTTGTGTTCGTGCGTTTGAAAAATAATTGGGGGACTTTGGAGGTTGAGCAAGAGCAGAGACAGAGAGAGTAGTGCAGTTTTTCAAAAAGGATTTTTGTCAAGCGAAGCGGCGTCTGTGGCTTTTTACAGGGAGGAACTCGGGGAGTCGTGTTTTTCTACTTTGTTTACGAAGACGAATCAAACGTTGCGTTTTACTGCCTCTACCGTCGCATGCCCGTGTTTTACATGGATTGGATTTAACATAAATAAATCAATTTTATTACATTTGTTTGATTAATCAATGTATAGTTTTCAACTATTTTTTTTCAGGCTTTTAAGATAATTATAACATCACACTTCACGAAGAAATATATAAGTAACCATCCAATATTTTTAGTAAACACAAGTAACCATCCAACACTTAAACAAGTTCACATAAAACACCTAACATGTATAAATATACTCTTTCATGTATTTTATTTTCTTGTTTATTTTTTTTTATATTTGATTAATTTAAGTATAGGAGAGTCTTTTATTCTAACAAAAATAAATATTTTGCAAGAAAGCCTGGGGAGTTATGGTAAAGTTAGTTATCGAAAACTCCAAGCTAAGATTATAGATGGGAAAAAGCTCAACCCAATTTGAAGTTTTTCATAACTTCACCGATTAGGTTGATGAGATTGTAAATAGGCTTGATTAATATTTTTTTTCTTGTTTTATTATTTTTCTAATATCCTAGCCCAAGTGTGCTTGTAATTTCTAACCACCTATTTATTTTATTTTTTGTTAGAAACAAAAATATTTAGAAATTGATGAGGATAAAAATAAAATAAAATACAACAATTATTTGCTCTACAATTAGTAATAAACTATACATGACCAGAAAGGACAAGAAAGGCCAATAAGCTAATAAAATGAGATCATATCTTTTGATGTTTATGTACCCAACTTAGACCAATATATTATCATAAATATTTTTTTTTCAATAAGCATTATGCTATCACCTTACCTCTTAGATACCCAATAGGACTATTTAGATATTCTAATTAATTTTAACTCTGCTTAGTTATAAAAGGATAAAATTGCCAATGAACTTGTTGTTCAACCTTAACCATAAACCAATGTTAATGGACCAAGATTTATTGATATTTTTAAATATTTATTTGATTTTATTTATTTTTTTTTTTTTTTTTTTGCATAAACCTACAATAGGCTTTGAGAACATGTTTTGGCCTTTATTATTATTATTATTATAATTACAGGAACAATAATTGTGCTCATATTGAGTGCCTAGCACCTTGTGTGGACTCAGGGGACATGCTCAAGTTCAAGTGATGGGTGTATGCCCAACATCTCATAGGCTTGGACAGGCTCGATTCTAAATATTATACATAATATAATTAAATATTTATGGAGTTAATAAACAAGTATTATGAGCTCAATCACTATTTATAATTTATTAATACATGTGTAATAAATATTTATCATTTATTAATATTGTTATAAGATATTATTCTTTATTAATGCTATTAAAAAAAATAACTCTCAAGCCATCATTAAAATAAAAAATAATATTCATAAGTTATAAATACCTATTGAACTGCCTTTCATAATTTATATTAAAAAACATGTATATATTCAAAAAAAAATCTTATTATTATAATTTAATACTCTGTAACATATTTATTAAATTACTAATTTTATTATATGAAGTTCCTCAAATCCCGTAAGATGATTTTTTATAGGTATTATTATTTTTTGAGAGATTTTCATTTACGAGTAAAATTATTTTAATGAACATTTGATTAATTAATAATTCAACTACAAATTTAAAGACATCATCACATAATTCATAATTCAACTACAAAATTATCACATGTCCTTTTTCTCCATTTCTCCAAGAGATTTCAAGTTCATACCTTTGGTCCGCGAACAAAACAAAGAAAGGATAAAACTGAACTAGATTTTGACTTAGCATGAAACTTGCACCCCTGTTAAACTACGTTAAGCAACAACTATGACATTCTTTCCGTAAACATAGAAAGGTTGTCAGAGGTGGAAGCAGATACAAAGTTCTCATTCTTCAACACAACATCACAAGATTATCACAAACAAGGAGAATATCAAATACCCTTTTCCCCCCACATTCATTGTATAGAAAACGAAGCATTGTAATCGATAAACATAGAAAGGTGGTCAGAGGTGGACATGAGGTAACTTTTTGTTCTGGGGTTTGATTGTTCCTACAAAAACAAGTCCTCCATAAAAATAAGAATCATTCGATGATCAAGTCAATAAATGAAGAAGAAGAAATAATATAAGAGAAATAGGATGAATGTCTTAGGGAGTGTGATTGAATGAACTGGAGTGAAGCTTTTGAATGAGCTTGAATGACCTTAACTTGCCTGGCTTAATTGACATATGAAATTGATACATTGCTGGAATCTTTCTATTAATGTGGCTGCATTGCAGGAAACCAATTATTTATATCAATGAAATATGAAATTGATACATTGCTGGAAGTTCCTGTTAGATTCCGACGTCTCAGTTCCTTTTCACTGTTTCTTAAGTGAGATTAGACTATTACACAAAACTGGAAAAGTAGTAGTCTTTTCCGCTTGTTCTGTAAGAATGTCGATCAAAATTTTATCAAAAATGGTAAGTGTGCCATTGCATCTTCTTTCAGTGTATTTCTGTACAATTTATGCCAATAGAGAAAGCAAATTGCTATAGATTTCTCCGGAATATTTTTTCCCTTTGTTCACATGAGGCAAGTTTCATATTGCTAATGTTCCTTCACTGAATTGGTTTTCATCTGAAGAATCCAAGGACTGACTTTTGGGTTTGGTCATGACACGAGAAAATCCATATCCGAGAGAACTTCCACTAGTTTCGCAGAGCTGCAAGGGAAAGTAAGCTCCCAGATGTCAAACTAAGTCAAGGAATGTGGGGTAATAAAGCTCTACACTTGTGAATTGTGCAGATGACTGAATTTGTCAAGATAAAAAAAAAAAAGAACTTAAAATAAGACAAACAGCACTGATTACCTCAGTAAGCTCAGACAAGTGGCGGGATCTAAATGCATTGATGGTTGCTGCAATCTCTGACGTGGGCAGTTTAGCCTAAATGGAAACGAAGAAACCCCGAATCAAAAAAGATTCATGAGAATGTTAAGAGGGCACTGTGGCCAAATGAATACTATAACATGCTCATCTTGCTTCCATAATTGCTATGTTATATTGTTTCTCGCATTCTTACACCTACAACCTGAATTTTTATTGCACGTGGCCAATTCAAGCAATCAGATTCTAAGTTTCAGATATTCCATCATATAACTCATAAGAATGTAAGTTAAAATAAAGCCAACACAAAGGACTCGTTTGGACAGCATAAATGATTATTTAGCTCCAGCTTGTTTTGACGTAGAAAAACCACAGTATTTCCATTTTCAGCACTTCAAAGTAACTGTGACTAGAACAAGTGATGCGCAACTCAAGAAGCAAGCTGTTACCTGCGCAAGAACAGCAGCTGCCAACTGTAGACTTGGTTCCAATGTCTCAGGTACAACCTGTAAGTATTAGTTGTTAACAGGGTGTGATCGAGTTGTTTTATAAATCAAAGGAAACTACTAAAAAAAGATTCAGAAATATTACAGCTGTAGCCCCAGCCTTCTCCAAATTAAGGCCATGATCAACATCATGAGCACGAACAAACGTTTTCACATTGGGAAAGTACTTGCTCAGAGCCCAGACAGTTCTATAATTTGCACCAGGTGTATCTAGAGTTATTGCAGCAGCACATGCTCTTTCAGCACCGACTTTATGGAGGACCTAGCCACACAATACAAAATCAATTGTTGAACCACCACATAAGTAACTCATGATGCATTTAGCTTTACCTCTCGACTACCAGCATCTCCAAAGTACACAGGAAGATCCAGGGCACGGCCTGCTGCCACTCTATCGCTGAAAAAAGCAAACTTCTAATCATCAAGAATCTTGCGACACCTCTCCACTCATAATCACAAAAAAATAATATTCCAAGCAATATTAAGGCCACATCCTGGCATAAACAAGTAATAAGAAGGGGAATATATTTTCATTCTCTACTTGGTAGCAATTGTTTCAAAATGATTTTGTAGCATACCAAGGTAGAACCTCTGTAGCTGATATCTAAATCCAACTAGCTAAATGGTAGCTAGGAAAAATTTCTAGTTCTATTAAGTCTTTGATAAAGATATGTTTGTTTAAAAGGAGCACAGAAATAATTTGTTGGGGGGGATGAAAAAAAAGAAATTCTTGTGGACAAAAGAACTGCATCAATAGGGAGAATAGGCAATGAACCAAAAACATAAACATTCCGAAATAACACCAGAAAGTTTGCTGGTAGAATTTCTCAATCTTTGGCTTACCTACTCACATCAAGAGCAACAAATGGAATTAATCGTTCTGAGAGAAGCTGTGCTATAATCTGGCAAATCCAAATGAATGTCATGAGCATGTATATTAAAAACTAGCAAAATTCACAATATTAGCCACTTTAACATATGCAACAAATCAAATAAAATATGTATCAACCTGGCCAACACGACCAAATCCACAGATAATAATATGATCCTGCAAATCATCTGTCTGTAAACAAAATAAACCAAGAGAAAGATTAATCAGCAAGTACTCATAGTTGTCAAGCAAACCTAGCATCACAAACATCTAATCTTAAACAGATGAGAAAAATATAACTACAGGTAGCTGCTATGCTGGTACCAAGAAAATATTCAGTATCACTTCCTGAGAGAGGATAGCACTGGAAAATGATTTTTAAAAGAACTGGATACACAACACGAAGGAAAAAATCCTGGGGTGCCAATAAAAGATACATACAGATTTATTTTATTTTATTTTTATCATATGGGATGCAGCTATTTGTTTATTAATGGTGATGGAGATGAATGAATGACCTGATTTTTGTAATAGCTTATACACTATGACTAATACAGGCTCACCAACATTCAAATGAGGTCATACAAATACGATCAAGAGAAGGAAATTACAGTGAAAAACAAACCACAATTAGGCCACTTATTCTTGTTGCTGTAAAACTCAAAGAGTATGAAATTTCACACACTTGAAAGGCAAAACTAACAGGTTCTAACTCAGTATGCAGGAAAAAATGGATGTTTTGAAAGCACAACTACAAAATTCATGCATTACACTAAAGCAATCAATTGAGATATTTTTTGTTCTCTATTCATTGCCCCTCCCGTGCATGGTAATAATGATCACATATTTTCTCAGGGACACGTCACTCAAGTAGCATAATTTTTCCCAATGACAATGATACTTCAATTGTTTATATGAAAGCACCCGTGTTCAGCAATTCACCATATCTATCAAGTGGAACCCAGTCACCATGCAACAAAGCATCAAGCTCAGTAAACTACCAACAGCAAGGTTTGAACTTTGACCAATGTATCACTGAGGGCTAAAACTGTGACTCTCACAATATTAGCAATTAACTCATATACTAGTGACCTTACCTCACTCTCAACCGGTAACAAACTACGAACATCATGCTGCTCAAAACGAGATGCTATTAACTGGCCGCCAGCAGCTAGCCATGGTGTCATGGCCATTGAGATCCCCACCACAAGAAACAATAAAGAGGATAGCTGAGGAGACATTATACCCTGCAGATGACAATAATTAGGCAACACGTGTACAAGAAACAAGCATTTTTAAATACTATCATCACTTGGAGTGAAGAAAATTATGAGGAAAAAAATTGCATTTCCACATCTCAATTTAACTACTTTAAATTATTCAGTAATGAATTCTTCCTATTAAATATCATGAAAGAGATACTTCCCATATCTGAATTTTTTTGTGAAATGTAAAAAAGATATTTTGAAACAACACCAAATGCACAGAGGATATTAAACACATGGCCAACTAATTTGTGGAATTTGTATGGAACACTATAATAAAATGTTGAATCCACTGACCACAGACACATTAGATTGGAAAAAAAAAAACCGTAGTTATTTAGAAAAGAGACCTGGTTAACAGCTTCACCAAATGCTACAAATGCAAATTCTCCACCCGGAGCAAGAAGAAGACCAATCCTTATTGCAGATATAATAGAAACACCAAAACACCTGCCAACTAAAGCAACCAACGCAGTCTTGCCTCCAATTAAAAGCCCTAATGATCCCATAATGGCAGGAAAATTTGAAACCAGAAGTTTTGGGTCAATGGACATTCCAACCTGAGAAAACATAAATGGACCGATGTTAACAGTTAATGATTGAGGATCAACATATTTGCATCATCGAGAAAAAATCTAGCAAGTTCAACAATTAACTATCATCAATATTATAACAGAAGAAATGTTGTAAGTTGTATGCTAATATAGTGTTGGAAGACACAATCTTGCAGAGCTGGCCTGTTCTTCCAGTGCAAAAAAGAAGAGAAAAGAGAAAGAGCCGGCCTGAAAAGTTAATATACTGATGAAGGAGAAGATTTCACATATAGTCCTCATATGTTATGAAAAGAGCCAACAAATGGCTTCTACAAGAATTAAAAGAGTACTAAAAGTACTTAATAGATAGATCTTACAAAAGACCCCTTTTTTAAAACACCTACCGTCATGAAAAAAAGGCCCAATAGAAGCCCGCGATATGGAGCAATATCTGATTCAACCTGCAAGGAAAATTCAGTTTCTGCAAGAAGCAAACCAGCCAGAAATGCCCCCAGTGCCATGGAAAGTCCAGCCTGCTCTAGGAAAAAGATACAGCACAATTTCATTAACAACAGCAGCAACAACAATAATAGTAACAGAAAGCAAAACATGCTCAAACAATCTCCTGGAAGCATTTCAGTACCCTGGCAGTAAGGAGACTGGTCCCCAGAATAACAAGAAGTGTATTGGCTGAGAATATCTCTGCATTTTGATTTTCTGCAATTTGTTTATAAATTGGTCGAAGCAGCTGCAAAAGGCACAGGAAGGGAACATCAATGAACTGTTCAGATGACACCATGCATTGCCAACTAAAGTCAATGCCACCTTTGTAAGAAATTTCCCGAGATTTCCAATTAAGACCACAGAAATGTAGAGTTGAAGATACAACTTCAATCAAGAGAAATGACATCCATCCACTTAAATGCCATAACTCTAGAAAAAATAAGATTTACCAATCTTCCACCAGCAATTATCGCGGTGATGGCAACTGCTGCCTTAACAGCAGCCAACCCAAGAGCCTCAGCAATTGCTTGAAAACCAACCTGGAAAGCAGCATCATATCACTCATAAACCAGCATTGAGCACAACAGCAGTGGGAATGACAATAATAGTAAAAGCAATTGATGTACTTTGGTAGCTTTATTTGCATTCTACAAGAAATAGAGGATAGATTTTGCATTTTTTTTAAATCTATCAACATCAGGTGCTGTTGAAAGAAAAGGAACACACTGAAAAGTGCATGCCAAATTCCAGATCCTGCCTTCATTATATCCAGAATATTCTGTGTGGCTCACAAGCTGACAAAACATGTGCAAATTTCTTTCACTTTTAAAGCAAAAGGATACCAGAAGCTCACCACCACATCCATATACAAACAAACTAGTTTAGAAAGTTACCCCTCCTTTGGATGAATTTGGTGAAATAAGTGGTATGAGTATTAGCAACACCACAACAGCCAAATCCTGAAAAGAATAAATAAGATCAAAGATTGCAATGCAAAAAAGAATACATATAACATGAACATGGTTTAAAAGATATCTCAAAGGAATTATAAGGAGAAATTCCTACTCCACAGAGGATTGGGGAACTTTTACATGATTACAGGGATAATTTTACTACAACATACAGCAGTAGAGTTTTATTCTCATCTTGAATATTATTATGATACAGATACATATGATATTCACTAAAGAAAGTGTGAGCATAAAGAACCACTCCTATGGCATGACATGGCCAACAAGAAAGAGAAACCATGTCACTACCAAGACAAAGTAGCTTTGTTCTGAAGCTATACCACTACCAAGACATAAAAGCTTTTTTTCTTTTCTTTTATGCAAACTGTGGAGTGACCTGGAATAGTAGGACAGAGAAAGTAGCACGTCCATGGCGCGATGTGCTCTCACCTCGCTCCTGCAACACCTGCAAATTAAGACCACTATCTATCAATTCTCTTGTCCATCAAAATAAGTAATTGCAGATTTGACAGACAGGTTCATAGAAGAAATGAGCCTTGATCAGAAGCTCATTTTCAGCGGGGGAAGTATGGCACGATCATGAGTGTGCAATCACAATATGGACAGATTACATCCAAAACTGACTTTAATGAGTTACAAAGATTCTAGATATGCGATCAAAATGTTGATATTTCATATCAAAATTACTAATGGTGTTAGTTTAAATTTACCATTTTGCTGTTGCGGACAGTAGATAATGTAAAAGGATCAAATATTTTGGTCTAGGAAGCTTGTGTTTGATCCAGAAAATTATCTTTCCTGAATTGAGGGACTCTTGGTTAGAGAAAGCTGCAATGCTTAAATTTAAAGCAAAATCTGCACTATTCTGCTACCTGTAGAACAACAGCAGTAGAAGATAGTGCCAGGCCATTTCCAATGACAATTGCAGCAGGACCAGGCAGCCTGGAAACAAAATGTGTGACCAAGCCAATAACCACTGCTGTCACCAAGACCTGCATCATCCACATTAAAATGCAAGTTAATCGACACATGAATAGAAAGCGCAGAGCATAGATGGATTGAGCGATGAAAAATGTGGGAGAAAAAATCCCAAGTACCTGACCAGAGCCTAATCCAAATACATATTTTTTCATGGAACTAAGCCTTTCAACAGAGAGCTGTAAGAGACAGAAGACTGCTTTAGCATCAATAGTTTAAATTTGAACGAATGTTAAATTTCAGCCACATAGTCTAGATGTAAAGACTCCAACCTCAAGGCCAATATTGAATAGCAAGAAAACAACTCCAAATTCAGCAATTGCCTTTGTACCAAGCACATGATGGATGATGGAGAGACCATAAGGGCCAATCAAGATGCCAGCAGCCAAGTATCCAAGAACAGGACTGCCTGGAATTGCAGATCAAAGACAATTCATGAAACATGATCACACAAATTTCCAATTTCATATTGGAAAACAACCTGCTGGCATAAATATAGATAATGATCAAGTAGAGAACTGGAAAACAACAGCAAATCAATAAACTACTATGGACTCATATCAAGAAAGCATAATTGATATATAAATGGCAGGGAAAAAAATGCTTGGCAGAAGGACTAAGCTAATAATAAAAAAATAGAAGTTCTTGAAATTTCACATTGAAACTTTAAATGCATGTATAAAGGTACAAACTTATTTTTACGCTACAAAATACAGTGAGTTCACCTCCTGGAATTTTCTGAAATAAAGGAACAAAAATAACACTAGCAAGCAGCAACCACAAAACATCAAAGAGAGATGCTTCCTCCTCATTCATCTGTCAAAACAGAACAAGCAACCAGATTAGAAAGTATTACATACATGTTGACTTGAGACCCAAAGCAGAAGTGAAGGATAGTGTGACTTATGCCTCTTGATGAGGAAGCATTGCAATTAATTTTTTGACTCTCTTTGGGAGTTTCTGAATATGTTGAATCAGAGGCTTCGCGTTTGATGAAACTTCTTCAATGCTTGTGGTGACCACTTCTGGTTTTTGAAGCATCTGGGTACTCTTCTCCACTCGATTAGAGTAGAAGGCAAATCTGTGCACAGTTTCAGTACACTGTGATAAAACAACGCAACTTCTATGCTAGATGTAAGAATCTAGTAACAGAAGCAGATAGTGAGACATGAACCTATTGAAATAGCCTTCAGAGTCCTCTAGGTCATCACAACCAAGATGTAGTTTATTTCTCTATTGAATGCCTCAATAAAAAACAATATGAAAAAAGATAAATAGAAAGGCTTTGGCAATGAATTGTATTTTCATGACATTTCGTGAAGATACCAAGAAAGGGCTTGATAAGGATTGTATTTTCATGACATTTCGTGATTACCCTGCTGATGCATATTACAATCTCATTTTATTTATAACCTGAAAATATTTTTTCTAGCATCTTACATCCACTGGGACAGGTGACATGTCTCTTAAAGGAGGACTGTTGACAATGATGGAAATAAAATTAAAGAGCAACAGTAATACATACCCTGCTCCAAACAACAATAGGCCAAGAAGAAAATTGGGCAGTTGCTTCCTTGCAGACTCCATTAGGCCCTGAAAGACTGATGCTGCTGTCAACTCCGTCTCATCTCCACTGAAAGAGAAGAAGGATGCAGAAAAGAAACGAGAGGATTTCTTCAACAACGCCTTGGGAGCACTGAGAGGTGAAGATGAACTCTCCCTGGTCAGGTCCTTCTGTAATTCCTGCTTTTTTGTCTGAATGCCAACTTTTGACTTTTCAGCTTCTGCTTCAGTATCTTTAATAGAGTCCAAACTCGATTTTCCATTCTTGTGGTCACTAGAATAATCAGAAAGATATAACTCTTCAGAACTCTGGCTGATTTTATCAGATAGTCTATCTATTGAAGGCTCGCCAACTAAAACATCACCATTTACAGTCATATCTGTTTCTTTCTCAACATCAGAAGCACTGCCTCCACGCATCTTCTCCTCCTCGACTACTGCCTCATCATCGGACACATGCCCCCGACCTGTTTCCTGGATATCAACATGAGAACTAGAGAGAGATTTCTCTGCCTTTTGTAACGCAATTTCTGCATCACTCACTCGTTGGGTAGCCTCAAGTTCAAAGGCAACAGCTTGCTCTGCTAGAAGCATAATGTTTGCAACATCCTCCTCTGCTTTCAAAGCATTCATTTGTGCTTTCTCTGCTTTCTCATTCAACGCGTCTACCTCCTTCTGTAATTCTTCCTTTATACTTTGCAAGCGCCTCAGCTCCGCTTCACAATTTGCCAAATTTGCCTGGCATTCCCTAATATCATTCTGAGCAGCCAAAATTGTCTCATAGTCTTCCTTACTATCATTTTCCACGTCACTCTCTCCAGAACCCTCCAATGAATCAACCCCTTCTTTCGTAGATTTTATCGACTCCACTGCCACCTTAAGCCTTGCCTCAGCCAAAGAAAGCGCCATAGTTGCCTTTTGAAAAGCTTCTTTAGCAACACCCTCCTTGTTCACAATGTCCTGAAACATATCAAGTGTTGAGTTAACATCATTCCAAGCACTCGATGCCTCATCTTGCAAAGCTATTGCAGTTTCTGATATACTCTGTGCCTTTTCCTCAAACATGGTACTATTAAGCCGTGCAACCTCCAATTCCCTCATTGCTTTCTGTAACAATTCCCTCAATTCATCCAAACTAAGTGCCTCTGCCGCCATTTCAGTCTCCATTACCTTTTCTCCTCTCCCATCCTCTTCTCCCAGGCCACCATTAGACCCTGCTCTCAAGTTCTTATCATTACCCTCACCAATTTCTACATTTCTACCATTCCCATCAATATATGTTAACGAATCATTGCCTTGACACAGCAACTTAACACTTCTCGATCCCTCAAACCCATCAATAAAATTGCAAAACAACGGATTACTTGCATACCCACCAACACACAAATGACTACGCATTCCACTTCCACTACCATAAAAAACACTTTTCTTTAATGTCTTTGAAGGTCTTTCTCTCGAAAAAATCTTCAAATCAACAGCATTATACCCATAACTTTTATATCTAAATCTCGAATATAACCTATTTGATACCCTACAACTAGTACCTTGTCTGCAATAAAATGCATTCGTCTGCTGAATATAACTCGCAAACTCCATGCCCTATAGTAAAACAAATAATCAAACTCTCTTAAGCATTTAATCAAACACGTAGAAGTCAATCATTAAAAAAAGAAAAAAGAAAACACGACTCAAAGCAAAGCCCCTTTGGGTGTATAACTAAAAATGAAGAGAGAGTGAAACTAACCGATCAACAGGAGTCAAAGATGAGAGAAAATCAATGGTGGAGTTTGTTAGAGTAGAAAAGGACACAACAACACTGACCAATCAAAAAGGCAGAAAGCAGGGAGAGAAAGCATGAAAGGACATGCCCACAGATAGTAATATAGTACACAGTTCAAATACTACAGTGGTCTCTATGTTTGGAAAGTGAGAAAATAAAGGGAAAATTATTGATTGGGAAAGGAAATTCAGTTATTGGTGGATTTTATTTATTTATTTGCAACACCCATAGACTACAGTTTAATATTGTGACGACCATCCATTATTACGCAGGTGGATTTTGATATTCTCATATATGCCAAAGGATATTCTAGTATTTCAGTAGACTTTAATTTAGTCCCTTCTTTTAACTATTATTACAATCAAGTCCTCTATTTTCTAAAATCAGTAGTTAATCCTTAATTTCTGGTTTCTTGCTAATTTATTTATTAAAAAAAACGTTGGTCTCTTTCTAAATACCAAAAAAATATGTTTTTGACAATTTAAATTCTTAATGTATTTTCTAATAAGAGGCAATATACAGTTAAATTGAAAAGATATTGATTGTTTTTATAGTTTTAAAATATCTTATATTAAAATCATTAAATGCATAAAAAATATTATTTAATTTTTTTTATTTTTAATTCGAACTCATTTTAAACATCACTTTCAAATACAGTAATCTTAGAGGAAATTTGATTTACCGGAGTTTATAGAATAGTCAAAACGGTTTAATAAGACAGATATCACCAGGAGTTTAGGGACTAATTTACTTAAATTTTTCAAACGATATAAACTTGGAGAGTGAGATACACGTTGAAATCTTATTGGCCTAAGTATGTCCTCGGTGGGGAAATATGTGATGATAGTAAAACTGTGAACATGAAATGTCAGAAGTTTGATTTGATTGAAATCTCCAAATGGAACCCCCCTCGTTTGCGGAAAGAGAAAGCATCGACACCCCCCCCCCCCCCCCCCCCCCCCACCGCGGAAAAGGAAACCCCCCCCCCCCCCCCCCCCCCCCGGTGGATAAATCAAGAGTCACTTTTCGGAGGCTAGATCTGTCCACCGGAAACCCTAGTGGAAATCCAGAAACTGCATGTTTCAGCGACTTTAAATTTGGGAGCTTTGATTAATGGTGGCTTCCTCCAGGTGAAGCGACAGAAGTTGCAATTTCTCAAGTCGTTGGCTTGAAATATTGATCCTGTTCGAAGAAGCGAAGGCACAGCGCGTTCAGTTCTTCTCGGGCCCTGCTTTTTCGAACCTTCAGGTGGTACCTTGACAGAACAAGCAAAAGCAGGAGGGAATGGCGAAGGCCGACGGACAATCCAAGAACAGGACTTTAAGGCAGGAAACTCAGAACTCAGAAATAAGGTCGTCGTGAGCGTGGTCCAAAGTACTAGTACTTGACTAGAATTCAAGCACCTCTCGATTCTTAGGGTTTTATCCCTCAATGCATCAAGTCAAAAGGTTTCTTGAATGTCGTGCACGAACAATTTGATCATTCTGATAAGAAATTAGCTAACACCATGATCAAAAGGCTTTCTGAAATATCATTTTACTATTCTAAAAGCGTGCGGTCATTTTATTTTGAACTCTTTTCCTATAAAATATAATCCATTTAAAAAAAATTATAACACTCATATAGGAAAAAATAGTTAGAAAGTGAATTATTAACGTGTTCATAAAAACAAAGGATTAAAACTTGAGAAAGTTGAAAGTGATTGTTTGATTTCTCAAGCTAAGAGAAATGCCCAAAAAAACTAAAACAATTTTTCAAGTGAAAAAAAGAAAAATATAGAGCCAAAAATAATCAATGTTTCTTCTACAAAAACTAATGACATGTTAAGAAAAATTATCTTAAGTATAAGATTGTACTAAAATAAATCATAAATAACTTTAAATCTATTTCACAGGATCTTGAGACTTTAGAAAAAATTTTAAATTTATTTTTATATATATTGCATATATGTATTTCAATAAATCCAACCTAAATATCATCACTCATTAAAAGTTTCTAATTATAGGTCACTTTCGTATTGTTCAGCCATTTACAAATGTATATCTAAGGTTCTTGATAATAGTTTGAGGATATGTCTTTCCTATCTTACTAGTTTGAACTAATCAGCATTTGTAGAAGGGAGAAGAATTGGAGATGACATCTACTTGTTAAGAAGTAGCGAGGGGTTATCATAGAAATACTTTGAAGCTAAGTTGCTCTTTGAAGGTTGATATATTGAAGCCACTTGACTCCGTTAACTGGGATTATCTGTTTGTATTGGAAGCCATGGATTTTCCAAGATACTTCCTGTTATGGCCAAAAGCTTGTATAACATCTTCTATATTCTCCATTATGATACATGACGGGTTTTGTGGCCATTTTGAAGAAAGGGTTTGAGACAAGAAGATCATCTTTCCCCCTATTTGTTTGTTTTCTCTAGAGGAATCTAGTCCTGTTTGTTGAATGATGCTGTAAAAAAATGGGTTGCTTGCTTATCATCCAAGGGGCAAGTGTTGAGACCCTAAACTGGCCTCAGCTTGTGAGGGGTGCTCGCGCCTTAGAATGAAAAATGGCACTTGGATGTCCAATGAGCGAGTGAAGCAAAGATGATTCATGGCAAAAACAAGCTTATCATGGGCAAATGGCGAAAAGACAAATTATAAGGTCACTGATGAAACAAACAAGCGAATGGCAGTAGTAAGGATAAGAACAGTTATTTGCCCAGTTAGTTACAAATCTAAATTTTAAGAAAAATTGAAGTTTTTTGTTGGAATCTATAAATAGTCCTTGCAGATATTCAGTAACAAGGTTCGACCAGTGAGTGTGGGGAGAAATATCGATCCTCTATGTGTTCTATGCAGTCAAGAGATAGGGATCATCTGTTTTTTACTTAGCTCGTTTGCTAAAGATATTTGGAGTTCTATTTTGCGGTTTTATTGAATTCAAGGAGCTGTACGAGACTGGGAATGTGTTTGTTTATGCTACAAGAAATTTGAGGAAGAAGTGCTTTTCTTCTGTCATCCTCAGACTTCGTTGGTGTGGGGTCATTATTCTGTTTGGAAGGAGGGGAATGCCAGGATGTTTAATGAAGAAAGCTCCCAAGCCACTGCCGTGGTTGCTCATGTTGTTCAATTGATTTAGTTGAGATTGTGCAATGCTAAATTCGCTGATCTTTGTAGCAGGTGGAATTTTCAAATTTCTTTATAATATGGTCCTTGTTTGTTTTATGGATTGGTCTTCAATACAGGATTGTCTATTGTATTGGTTTCTGGGATTTGTAGCAGATTTTAATCCCCTGCTTGGTTGCTCCTTGATGAAATAAATAAGAAAAGAATTTGAATCTTCTAGTTTATCTCTTTAATCAAGAAACTTGTATACAACAATTAGGCCAAAACTCGACCTAATTTTGTTCTTCTTCAATGTTCAAAAAGTTTAAAATCTTCAAGGTTGCTGGAATATAAGTTTGCATGGTAGAGAGTTCAAACTCTGGCATCCACAGAAAATGCAGGAAGCCATTTAAGCAAATAGCCGAGAAAGAACAATCATTCAATCAATGTTGATATTGCTACATGAGATCTTTCATATTTTCTCCGTTTGCCAAGGGTACTGAATTTCAAGAGAAAGAATCTGGAAAAACTAGTGCAGTTCAATATCTTGTACCAAGGCATATTTGTAACAAAGATAATCAAATCCAAAAGTAGACTTTGAATACAATCCGGCAATAATATTCAACAACATGAAAATTCAAAACAGTCCTGACAGCTTGAACAGATATCAATGCAGGAAACCATGATGTGCTGCTTCGTTTAAGATTGTTATTCTGACTTATCCTCGGCAGCAGCTGCTTCCTCTGTGTTTGGCTCGGCCAGTTCAGGAGGTGGCGTGGAGGTTGATCTCTTATGTGTAGCTCCTGCGAGGACATGGCTATAGGTTCCCTTTTCCATGAAGAGCTGAGCAAAGTGGACCTTGCAGTAGAGGACTCCGTCAAGAGCTGCATAAGATGAGTGTGTGAGTGGACACCCACCATGAGCACACCTGAAGCATGTCTTGTGGTAACATTCTCCCTCCATGGTAACCTATGGCATGAACGGTTGCAACACATGCTTATTCCAAATTATCATAAGCACGACTGTTAAATAATACACTTATAAAACTCTTAGATAGGTCCACGTCTATGATAGACAAGATGTATCTCAGAATAGTTTGTTATTCGTATGATAAATGTAGAGGTATAGGATATAGATCTTTAAGACCTGTGTATTTATTCAAGTTTAGAGTTAAAAACAAACCTTCTCCAATGGGTACACTGTTTTGCCGCAAGTGGAGCATTTGTCTTGGGTTCCACAGAACACGGAAGAGAGTTTGCTTGGGGTCCTAGTCTGAAAAATACAGAGAAAATATAGAAGCATTATAAATCTTGAAAGAAAAGGATGCAGGATCTGAAAGCTGGAATGGATTTTGAAATATCCCAGAATAATATCATTCATCAGGGTGGTTTCCAAAGGCCACCATAAATCAGTTTACGGGACATCCAAACACGCCCCAAGTATTTAAATTAGAGATACGATATATGTGTATGAATATTATACCAGCTCATGAGTCCTCTCAGGCTTGCCTGCGAGAAAATGTCATAAAATTGTTAAAGGTGTATGGGAAAGAATTAAACAATGGCAACTTTGAAATACTGTGAGAGAATTGCATAAAAGACACGTGAGATAAAGATATCACCTTTCTGAAAATTCTTGCTGAAATCGCCTCCCTCCTTGAAAAGTTGCTCAAAATGAGTCTTGCAGTAGAGGACTCCATCCATGGATGAGTAGTTGCTCATCTGCCAAGCACAGAACAATTTTCAAATCAAGAACATTTTGTTTTGTTTTTTATTGTGGAATATCATTTTTCACAAATCCAGATTAAGCCAAAACAATGAAAAGCAATGAATCACTATCCGGCGATTGACACCATTGTTGAATGCTGGCCTGCTGTTTTCCAAACCCAATTGATCCTAGCTAGCTTGTCGTGTATGAAGATTACATAAATTTTAGCTATGCTATTGGCCTTCAATTAGAATCCATTGCATGTTGTTTAAGATGATTCCCATTCTAATAACACTAAGATTATCAAGAAAGGCTGTGGAAAGGGAAGATCAGAAAGGAAAACATACCACAAGAGTTCCTTTGCAATGGGAGCATTTGAAGCAGGATTTATGATAAGGCACTCCTTCAAGAGACATCATATCAACAACATAAACAGTCTTGTCACAGGCCTTGCACTTATCCAGGGTTCCAGTGAATGCCATTGCTTTCTCTCCTTAACTCCTCTTTCCTTGTCTCTTCCAAAACGATCCTGGAAGTCAGGAAAGTAGTTTTTTTTTTTTTCGTTCAAGTTGTCTGAGGATCCAAGAAATCTCCTAACAATAAAAGCACAATGGGATTGTTGTTCGCTCCCTCCTCAGAAACATGGAAATTAAACAAAGAAGTCTTTGTTTTGTCAAAACAAAACTAACTTATATCACAAATTTTTGCCTTCTCGTGTAATGGTGTAAATTGCTTTGTGTTGAGCTGTATAAGATGGACGCGTGAATGGAGATCCCAAGCATTGTGAGATATAATTAGACTGCTAATTATGGATGTAAACCTGTTGGATTGGAGTAAAAAAAGGTCTGTGCTCTGACTTTTTCTCGAGGAAGATTGTAAGGGAGGCAAAATGAGGAAAATCTTTATCAAGAAAATGAAAAACCAACTGTTTTTTGTAATCTCCCTTGATTTTTTTTTAAGTTGAAGGATGTGCTATCAATTTGTCTAATGTACACACCAAACCAGACTGTTTAAATGCTGTTCCAACCCCTTCTGTGGCCCTTATGTGAATCAATGTTCCTAGTAATTAGGCATTACAGCAGTCAAAAGCTCAAAAACCTCTGGAATTCTAACATTATCACAGGTTGGGATTGGTGGTCTGCTCTGCTCTGGGATTCTTCTCGTCACTTCGAGTTAATGGAATTCTTTTTTCTTTTTTCTTTTTCAATTTCAAAGACCCTGTAATTGAAGGGTTTTTTTTACCAAAAAAACCCAGTAATTAAGTTCAGGTTTTAAGATAGAGATACTAGCATGCTTGCAGGCATATCTATGTGTGGGCGCGCGCGCTCATGCAGAGTAAGACAGTATCTGACTTCAAACATGGACATTCAGATTAGGATGGCTGGTTGCTCTTCCACAGTTCCATCCACCATGTCTCAACTATCTTTTTATTGTCATCACATATATATATATATATATATATATATATATGCATGCTGTTTTTGACTTCGAATTTAGAAACTAATTTGATCTTTAAGTTATATAACAGGCGACATGCTTTTCTTTATCTTTCCCATCCTAAAGTATAAACAAGGTTTTAACTCATCCCGCTCAGTATTGAAGAAAAAAAAAATTAAGAGCAGTCGGTCTTTTCACTGTACACTTAAATTGATTAATTTATTTTTTACAGAAAAAAAAATCAATAAAATTACTATTGAAATAACACGGTGTTTTCCACTTGATTCATTGATCATTATCGAATTATCAGTAATAACTTAGTTTTTTTACATTTTTACAGCATAGTAATAAAAACAATTACACTTATTTAACCAGCATTTAAGGGCGTTTTTGAATTTACACTTTTAAAATTATAATAAAATGACTAAATTAACTATGAAAGTAAACTTTATTTAGGTGGCATCCAGGGTTCTTTTATATTTTTATTATTGTTTTTTTGTTATAATTAAGTTGATTGGAAAAAAATTAATATTTTAATAAAAAAAATATTATTTAAAAAAATTATTTAACATGTGCATTGCATGTGTCTATGTTATTCAAGTAGCATATAAGAAGATGACAATAAAAACTCGCACATGCAAGCCACCAAAAAAATATTAAGAAAAAAAATATACAAAAGGTCATGCAAGAAGAATGTTTGTTAATGTTATAAAAATAATGTTATAACTTTAAAAACAAAAGAAAAATTAAATAGAATTTAATAAAATAATATCCAAAAAATCTCTAATTAATTTATCATAATTAATTGCAATTAAAATGGGGAAAATACTATTAAAAAAAAAAGTTGAAACGTCTAAGCCTAGGTGAGTCAATGTACTTGACCAGTAAAAATGAAAGGAAGCCTATATGCTCACCCATTCATTATTATTTTTTTACTTGAAGTGGACAAACAACATGTAATCTTTCCTTTTATATATATAAATTTTTTTTTTTAAAAAAAAGGCATTATCTTCTTGGTCTTCAAAAATTTCTTTTTTTAAATTTTTTTTTCACTTGAAAACATTTAAAAAAACATCTTATAAATCTTAATAAATCTATATTTAACTTTAAAACAATCTTTAATCGGTTATAAAATTAAAAATTAGCCTAAAATAAAAAATAAAAAAGAAATGCCGAGGTTCAATCTCTATTTTTCAGTAATATTAAAGGTTAAAAACACTCAAATAAAACTCATCTTGTTAAATAAATTAATTAACATCAACATTAACTTTTTTAAGTTGTTAAGATATCAACTACTATCAATTTTCTTCCTTCTTTATTATTTTTCAATGACTTCATCTCATGTCTCTTAAACTCAAGAACTAAAATATGAACAAAATAAAATTTTGGACTAAAATACAAAAGTGTCTACCTAAAGAGACCAAAGATGAGATTTGCAAAACTTGGAGGCAAATTTGTCAACAACAACCTATGAACAATGTTTTGAAAGAAAAAAAAAGCCTCCATCTTTGTATTATGTCAATTTTGTTCCCCAATTTGTTTTTTCGAAAGCAATAAACCAATTTTTTTCTTGTAAAACCAAGCATAAACCCAACATTGTAGTGTATTTTTAAAATTGTGATTACCTGTAGAAAATAAACTGAAATAAATTATTAAAATCAATTCCCATTAAACACAAAGTGGAAGGACAAAATTGAAGGAAAAAAAAAAGTTTGATAACCAGAGTGGAAATAAATACTATTATAATCCACAGAGTTTCCCTCACATTTTAGGTTTCTTGTTAATTGTTAATGTTCTTCCTTGTGACAAATTTCCGTTATACAATCTATTTATCCACCAAAATTATAATCAAATTGCTTCTTGTAGCAGGTTGAGTTTTTAGTTTCTGAGTTTACCGTACAAAATCTGAAAACCCTTCTTCGAATTTCTTGAAACGCAAAAAACAGGAAGACAGGTAGGAATTACATCATCAGGTGTACCGTTTATTTTATCTTATTTATTGCACTCTTTCAGAAATTCTATGTAGTCTAAATTGAGTAGAAATACAATTTACGAAACAGAGTTATATTATGAAAATCAGTGCTGCTAAGAAGATTTCTAAGATCAGTTAATCATGTTTCATTACATTTCAGTATCCTTGTTAACATGGAAAGGGGGCCACGGGTGATTTACAAATTTATAGCAGGAGCATGTGCCCCAAGAGGTCAAACAACGGTAGGGAAATCAAGGATCGCAATCATGGAAGCAACACAACTTTCTGACACAATATAAGATCTGAGATGGTCTTTCCATGCCGGTCGAGCCTACGGGAGCAGTTGACACCACCATCTAGAATGTTCCGGACCACAATATTCAAAGACTTGATTCCCTTGACTTCATAAATTTCTACATTAACATGTTCACTCACCCATTTGTCTCTCTTCGTTTTGGAAACCAACATTAACATGTTCACTCACCCATTTGTCTAGCTTCATTGTGGTAACCGAGTCAGGAAATGAAGAGGTGTTTAGAAGAGTTGAGACAACTTCCTTCACCCACTGGGGTGTTATAATTAGCTTCAGCCTCTCAATATCAGAGGGGAAGTGCGGGATGATTGAAAAATTCATGTCATTTCCTTTGTCTCCAGCCCTGCTATGAGCTACAGAATAAAGAGGAATCTTCTGGCCAGATGGAGCGGGAGAGGTCTCGATTACTGGTGAAGAACTCTTTGGATGAGGTGGTGATAAAGGGTCGTGCCAAATAGTGGTTTTCACTAAATTTCCAAGGTCAACTTCTTCCTTATTTGGACGCATTCCCTTCCAGCTCTTTACTCCAGTCCGCCAGAAAACACTTTCACGCTCAACCTAAAAGCACAATAAACTTCTCGATGTAAGAATATCTCCCAAAGCTGACAGAGAATTCAACCTCCCTCGCAACATGATTTGATTAAAAGACTTGCGAATTCAATGTTGATTAAAGTCATATAAAAGGAACAAAAAAGAGGGTTCAATAGCTAAGGGGAGCAATAGGAACAGAACATAGTTATAACACTAAATTTGTAGTGGAGATGACAGATGAAAATGCAGTCAGATTTCCACATGACTCCAGCAAGCGAAACTGAATTGGCTAGCACATCCTTTCAAGTAATGATATTGACTAGCACATTATTTCAGGTAAATATCAGTTGCAGATAAAAATTCAGAGGCAAAAGATGTACAGAGAGAGAGAGAGTACCAATTGCTTTCCGAGAATTATCTCTTTCTTGTGTCCAGTGCTGCAACAGTTAAAAAACAAGAATGGTCACTTTCCAGCATTAAAAGGGATGCTAGGGAAGTAAGGAAAAACTAGTAAGTGGAATCTAAAAGTAATTTCCATGCAAATAAAGTCTTCAACCACGCAAACTCTGTATAAAATGTATCAAATGCCATCTTTCGCTTTCTTTGAGAAATAAAAATAAGCCATCAACAAATTCAAAACAGAAAGGTTTGCCACACCCCAGTGCTGTTCTATCACTTCTTTAAGAATTCTTCATTTCTTTTCTTTTCTCTATTTTCTTTTTTAACAAATGAAATTTTTTTTTTTTTTTAGTTACACTAATATTGTCTTCTAGTAAAACATAAAACTCTGCATAAAGTAGTCAAAATTTCATTTAGACAACTGTTGGTATTCAGTAAAACCCACACCCAGATGGGTTAAATCATTCCTAGGTTTAGAAATTTGACTAACTAATCCTAGAACCTTCTGACTTAATGATCAAAATACTTAAAAATAAAATTAGCTTGTGCAGAGATAAAAAAAGGCTGACACTGAGAACAAAAACCCCTAGTAACAAGATTGAGTTTTCCTTCTATTGGCTCATTCATCAAGATGAATATATAATGGTTAGTAACCAAGGCCTCATTGAAAAACTTCCTGAAGTGAGCTGCTTCTGATCTTAAAAACTATAAGAAGGACGAATTCAGAGGAAACTGACCTGACACCACCACCACCAGCTGGTCCATTTGTATATAAAGCTGTAAATTCTGTTTCAAATTGGACTGCATGCTCCTTCAACTCAAATAGTCCATCCATACGTAACCTTATATCTTCACAAGCACCGCAAGATATATTGTTATCATGAATGCTAATTGTCTTCAGGCTATCAAGTCCAATAATATATGAAGCAACATTACAGCTAACACCAGGAAATACTTCTTCCATCCATGACC